AATTTCTTTTCGGAAAAGGGGGGCGCTGAGTAATTTTTTTTCTGAAAAGGGGGCGGTAGGCCAAATAAGTTTGGGAACCTCTGGTCTAGGTACTGTGGTACACCGTGTGCTGCCATAGCAGATCCTGGTAGCCCCAACACTGTTCAACTTATTACAGCTGAGTTGAAACATAACTTACTAAATGTGCTGTAACAGATTGGCTAGGTTACCAGGCTCCATTCAACTGTGGCAAAAGAGGGCTGTGTGTGTGTGTGTGGAAAGAAAAGTATTGAGTTCTTATGCTCTACTTTCCCTTTACAGGTGTGCTGAAAACAGCCCAATAAAGAGCATCTTCTCTTTATTTTAGAAGTTAATTTATCAAATAGTGAAGATCTCACAATCTCAAAAAAGTGATTAAAAACAGATGAAGCATGCAGCTTCATTAAAAATTGTGCACAAGACTTGCTACTTAGTCACACAAAGTTGAAAGTCTCCAGAGAACTTAATTTGAATCTTATGAACATGCCTGCCGATGGGGCAAGGAGCCCCACAATTGCCCTGGGGCCAGGAGGACCCCGGCTGCCGCCACTGCCGTGGTAGCAGCGGCGGCCAGGGAGCCCCGGGCTATTTTAAATTGCCTGGGCGGGCCGCAGGGCACCTAGGTGCATGAGACTGCTCTGGGCCCCATGCTTTGGGGGGCCCCCATGGGCGGTCCTGGAAGTGATTAATTCATCACTTCTGCTCTGGGCACTGCCCCCCTAGGGACAGCCCTGGCCCTGGGGCCCAGAATTTCTGTCAGTGGGCCTGCTTATGAACATAATGCAAAACCTTACATTTAAGGCCTTCCCATAATCCCAAGTGCTTTACACATTTGAAAAACAAAAACCCACCATCTTTGCTAAAGGCCATCATTTCTTAGACTGGCAGATGTATTACATTCTCCAAAACATTCCACAGGGTCTTTATTTCAAGTTTTCTAAATGTTACTCAAATAACGACCCAGCGCCCACTCATAACATATTTTACATGATGTCTGTAAACCATTAAGTCATTTCTCAGAAAAATAACCATGGTGTGTATGCAGAGTCAATGAGCCAACTTAAGCTTCCTACTGCAACTTAATTTCCTCTACTATAAACGTCTCCTAGCATCACTCCTAGTATTAACCTGGCTTGTTACACAATCTAGTGGTCTTCAAGATTTTATTACCAGAGCAGAGTTATAGAATTTTTTTTATTGGCAGAGCAATCAACAATTAGCATATGCCAAAACATAGCCAAGTACAAGAAGTTTATTTTGAATGGTCTATTTTGTGAACTATCATTCTGTAGTCCTCTGGTGTCAGCCGCTGGTCACAGCATCGGTTGAATCAGGAAGCCATTTCTACTTAGATGCTTTTAAGTCCATTCAGATTATATCACTGTAGGCCAAATTTCAAGCTCTTGTCAGGCTGAAAGTATGTAAAAGTTTGCCTGTATTGTCCTATCCCCCTTCCAGCTATTATTAACCCTTTCTCCCAAGGAGAGATTCAGTTTTTTAAAAGACAAACAAAGGTGCAATGTGCTTACCTCTTGATAATGGTTAGATCATCTTTAATTCTAGCACCTCAAGTTATACAAAGGTATGCTTAATAACCAAACTCCATAGAACTGTTGGACACATTCAATAAGGTGACAACTGTGCAATACCACTTAGTATTTCAGAGTCAGGGAACATACTCTTGAATTGTTTAAACACAATCCACAGAACTCAAAATTCATAAACCATCCACAGTTAAACTAAACAGTCATTTAAAAGTCTTACAGTTTAATATAGTTCACATAATGGTCAGTCTTTCATAAGGGATACTAAACTTTACTTGAAAGCATGCCAAACTTTACTTTTTATAGGTAAGTTGGGCCGGCACATGATTGGCCATTACTGTTCTGGTTGTACCCAGCAAGGAGAAGTTCTACCACAGTTCAGCCTATCCCGCATTATTTTGTCAGTTAAACGTGAACCGTGAATTAAATATTCATCTTTACATATACACAAGTTATGCTGTGAAAGCATATTTGCTTACAAACATATAAAAATACTTGTTAACTAGTTTGATAAGAAAATAATGTATAAAAGTATATAGCAAAAACATTTAATCATCTCTGACATTGGAAAGATCAAATCCATCTTTTTATATTACATGAAATAAAAACAGCTACAATTTTAGTTTTCTTTAATCCCTTACCCAGAAATACATCAAAGGAAGACACATGAATTTCCCCCCCCCCAACAATAATGTGAAATTTTTCTAATAAACTGAAATGGCTAGACCAGAATGAGCCCAGGTATTTGGCCACATTATAATAGTAGTAATAATCCTGTAGCTATTCTGGATCCATAAAATAAATACAGTAAGTAGACTTTTGGCCACTGGAAAAAAAGCTGAAGCATAAACAAGAGCTGAAACATTTTTGCTGACAAAGAAATTCAGTGTTGGTTTCTTAAGGCTAGCTGAACTCTAATTTAACTGAAGGGCAAAAAGCCAATACACTTTATTAAATACACTTTACACTTTGATTAGAGGTCTCCTTGATAGTAGCTAATGAAATGTCAGAAGTGAAAAATAAATTAATTAACATAAGACAACTTTTATGCTTTACTTGAACACCTTGTCCTCTTAGGTTTTGTTTCCATCTCCTTTATGAATAAAATTCCACAAGGTGCAAGCTCTTAAAGGGAGCAAAAATAGGAACTGTGATTTTAAAGAAGCAGCCTTAGTGTTTTGCTTTGAAGTCTGCCCTAAGATGACTAGTTGTCTTCTAGGACTGTATTCAGCCAGCTTCTTGGACTAAGGCTATTTTGGTGGCCATTTATAGGACATGGCACAAAAGGCTAGACATACCCAATGTGATGCAAAATGGTGGAAAGAAAAATTAATCTGGCAGTTGATAGCTTGATTCATGAGATTCTTAGAAAATGACACAATGACAGCCTTTCTTGTCTTTTTCTTTCCGTGTTGGTTCTGGTGAAGGAGGGCACTCTTGTTCTTGAAATTTTCTACAAAAATGAAAGTTCAGTTCATATATTTCTAACTCAAATCCGCTATATATTTAAGTAAGTTTATTTATGATACTCTTGCTCTAGCAAAATTAGTCTTAACCACCATTACCTATGTTGACTTGACAAGTTCCAGGACTTTCAAGTTATTATTTGTATTGCCGCAGAACCTAGAGACTGTGTGCTAGGTACCGTACAAACAAAGTAAGAGTCCCTGTTTAGAGATATTACTGCTCGTGAATACTATTAGGCATACTTCTATCAGTTCATGTCAGACCCAGCAAGGTTTTCAGGTAAGGTTAGACTGCTACCCTTCTGGGCATGCTCAAAGGTAAAAAAGGGTGTTGTGCCTGTAACCAAATACTGGACAATGGGCCTATATATGGGCCTATATTTGTACCTCAATGTTAACAGCTTGAATAACCAATTCTCATGGATAAATCTCTAAAATGTTGTCTCTCTGCAAACCATATCTTACAGAGATTCCCCTAAATCCTGTTCTTTCTGGGGGTATAAGCAATAATATTATGATTAATAATGGCTGATCAACAATCATAATTCATGCCTGGTTCTAGAAGCTACATCAACAAGTATTAGAATCAAACATTTTAGTTAGATCTTCTTACAATGCTTCTGATAACCTGGGCTTTCCTTTAACCCAAATGGAAATTCCATGAAACAGAGTAAGTTGCTCTGATGCAATTTAAATGGTTCAAAATGGGTTACTTACAGCCAGCTTGACTGATTTAGCCAACAAGTTTAGTTCTGAAGTTATTCAGCATCCAAATGATGACATAACATCCTCTTTGGAGAAGTGGAATAGACATGTTTGTTTTCGAGTACCATTTAAATTGAAATCAAATTTGAAATATAATTTTAGGAATAAAAAGAGGCAAATCCTGATGGTAGAGGATGAATGCTCTATATTTTACTCTTTTCTGCCTCTAGCAGAAAAAGGACAGGATAATCTGTGATAGCTCTTGAAAATATATTACCTGTCTCTGGCCTATGACCACACTATAAACCAGATTTTTAAAATGGTTTTTATGCTACCTGGATAACTACAGCAAGATACTACTCTGATGGGGTTTTGCCTCAAAACCAAAACTGTACCACCCTTATGACCAATAAGCCAAGAAGAGTTTGTCCACAGGGAAAGAAGTTAGCATCCTTTGGCTAGGCTATGGGATTTTAGGTAGAATTCCCTTCCTGAAGTGCCAAAGCAGTATTTCTATGATGAATATAACATTTATTTTTCCAGTTTCACCCAGAGGGTGTGTAAGTGTGATGGGAGCTTCAATTTGCAATTGAGACCCATGTCCCTGATGGCTACTAAAAAAGTCGACTAGGGAGGAACTGGGTCAGTTATTGACAGATTCTGGAGGGCAGGATGCCATCAAAGGAAGCAATTTCCTTCAATTGAGATTTTAAACCCTTTTCCAGAACTCCTCTCTATGCTGACAGAAGACACTAGGAACCTGAGCCATCTTTTTCCATGCACTTATAGGAGAACATTACATAATACTCTCATCATAGTTATCCATGCTTTTGTGACGTCCTATTGGAATCACTGCATTACACTCTACATGGAGCTTTCTTTGATACTCCAAAGCTTCAGAAAGCTCAGGTGGTGACTTTTTGCTTGCTTAGCAGCTTTGGCCATAGGAAACATAGCCATGTGCTCTAGGGTTTCACTCCCTTCCTAGTCACTTCTGGTTGTTATTCAAGGTACTGTGTTTTATTTAGGTCCATAGGCACAACCACAGGGAAGGAAAAAAGAATGCTCCCCCCACTACACACACAACTTTGCCTGCCCTAATCGAATTAAAAATGCACAGGGTTCCCTTCCTCTCCCTAAAACATGACACCCTGCAGCTGCTCCTTCCTCAATTCTCTCTTTAAACCAAATGTTTCTCAGTCTCCTCTTCCAAAGTCCTATTAGTGTTAGCCATCTCCTAGGTTACTGGTGTCAGCAGTGCTTCCTCCTCCTGCCCAGTAACATATTCCTTGCTGCTATGCTGAAGAGCACCAGGAATCACCAGGAGTTAAAGGCTGGAGGCTAGAGAAGGGAGAGTGAAAGGGGATGACAGGAGAGCAAGAAAGCCGGATGAGACATGGAGGAAAGGTAGAAAGTGAATATCTGACAAGCTCTCATGTGGTCAACAACAGGGGAAGGAAAGGAGGCTGCATGTGAGTGGTAATGAAGAAACATTTATGAAGAGCATGTGCATACATGCTCTGAAGTTTGCTTAGGACCAGCTTTTTCCAACTAGCCTGCCTCTTCCCAATTTGCCTTTTTTCTCCATTGATAGAAAATTCTCCCTCCTGGTACATCCAACTTTTTCCCCCCCTTCTTGTGGTGGCACTAACCGAAGTTAGCAAGGGCATTTTTGCCAACAGTTTCTATATTTAAAAAAAAATTTACAAAGTGGAAGCAAAAGCATTCTCAGTAAAGAACCTCATATTTGTCTAACAGCCACATGTAATTTGACTATCCACTCAGCCTTCTGACTGGGAGAAAAAGGGAGATATTTTACCAAGGAAGTGCAACCACTTCCAGGAGGCATTTAGTTTTACCATTGATTAAGCTATTTATATTTTGTACATGAGATTAGAGCTTGTTGGATAAGTGCATACCAAGTTTCTAGGGAGTGTCTTTTTGAACTTCTTGCTGTGTTAAAGAGGTGCTAGCACTATGGGATTCACCTGCAAGACAGGAGCAGTAAACAAGGGTTTTACAAAGCAGTTCTCTAGGTGAAGGAGGAATAACTACATAATCCTTGATCTGTTGGTTTGGTTTATTGTATGCTTGCTTACTTGGAAGACTATACTGTGGTCTGTTTTGGGGGCTGTGCACTGAATCAAGCAGCCTGCTAGGCTGAGCGCTTAGTAACAAGGCTCTAGCCCAGGGGTCAGCAGCCTTTCAGAAGTGTTGTGCCGAGTCTTCATTTATTCACTTTAATTTAAGGTTTTGCGTGCCAGTAATACATTTTCATGTTTTTAGAAGGTCTCTTTCTCTAAGTCTATAATATATAGCTAAACTATTGTTGTATGTAAAGTAAATAAGGTTTTCTTTAAAATGTTTAAGAAGCATCATTTAAAATTAAGTTAAAATGCAGAGCCCCCTGGACCGGTGGCCAGGACCCGGGCAGCGTGAGTGCCACTGAAAATCAGGCGGCACGTGTGCCATAGGTTGCCTACCCCTGCTCTAATCTGCTATCTTTCGATCCCTAACCCCTTTTGGTTCCCTTGACAAAGGGATGATTAATAAAAGGGTATCTGGCTTTTTACACAAAGCCAATATTCAGTTGCTGAATACCAGCTACACTATTTAAGCATCGCAGATTTCATTGACTGTATGTTCAATACCTAGCACCAGAAATCTTGAAGGATTAAAGGAAAAAGTTCTCCTCTCAAACCCATATGGTCAGCAGAGGATCAGTTAACATTTGCAGTGTTAACGGATAGCAGAATTTGCCCTGATTATCCCTAGCTGTATTTTCTTTCCAAGACAGCAGTTTGTTATCTGTTAAAGCTCACGAGTTGTTTAAGTTTCCTCAGAACACCGTTGACCTACCTTATAACTCTGACAAGTTCATGAAAGGCTTGGTCTACATTCAATCGTATTTTTGCTGAGGCTTCCATATAAGTTACTTTAAGCTGTCGTGCTAGTTGCTGGCCTTCCTCTTGTGTTACCTGAAATCAAAAGCAATCATTAAGAGTAAGCTCCAAGCATTCCACTGACATATCCTGATTTGTACACACACACACTACACTGTGAGCATGGTGTCTATGAAAAAATAAGTAGCTGTTTCCCTAAATATTGTGTATGAATCACCTTAACGGCTAGATAATATTCAACTACTGAATCCCTCAGGGATAAAATTAAACTATCAACCGGTATTGAGTATAACTTCTCAAGCATGGTATTTAAAAAAAAAAGCTACCCACCAAAAATACAAAAAACTAAGAATTTAAAATGCAAGTTAACATTTTTTTAGTGTAAAGAACATTCACAAGAGTCAGAAAGCTCTGTCCATATACCATCTTTAAACCATTTTCCATTTTATTAAATACTTTTCAAATTCTGTGTAACAGCTCATATGACCAGGTTTTACTCCTTAAATAGGAAAGCTTGAGTATAACAATCCCTGCTCAAACAGATGAACAATTACAATTTTCTGGATAACCCAGTAGTATACACTAGTCTATCAATTCTGGTAAAACCTATTCTTTTCCCCAGCCCAGCCAAACCTGAATAGTACATACATCACTTAGGTTTTGCACATTGGCGGCGAGTTGTATGTGCTGGTGGTGCCTGGGCTTCAGCAATATTCAGGGCCCAGGAACCCAGCCCCACCAATGTTTGGGCCCAGGTCTCTCCCCCAGCCCCACCTGCTGCCCCCATAGGCCTCCCCCAAGTGTTCCCTGGCCTGCACTTGCTACCCCCGCTTGCCTTCCCAGTCCCGGAGCAGAGCCTCCCAGGCAGCTCCACGTTGCCTCCTGCATCAACTGCCGCTGCAGGATCCTAGTGCCCCCCAGCCACTACTGCCAGGGCAGGCTGACCCTGAGCCTGCCCTTTCCCCTCAGACCCTTTCATTTTCCAATGGGACCCTCCACCAGCACAGGGCCCCCCCACCTGCAGTCACCGCTGGACAAGGGGCAGCCCCACCCCCAGTGAGGCTTCAGTGAGGGGCAGCAGCAGGAGAGGAGGCACACATGTGATGGCAGCCCTGCCCCTGCCCCACCCCCTGGGGAGACAAGGGGGCTTCCTGTACCTGAGAGGGGCCCTAGGAGCACATGCAATGACAGTGGTGCGAGGTGAGTGTGGTGCAGGGGGGCAAGTGGGGGGCCCCTCCCCCGAAGCTCACTGCTGCCTGTGGGGAATCCTCCTCTCTGGCCCTTCCCCGGGGCAGACTGTCTGCACCCCAAACTCCTCATCCCGAGCCCTGTCCCACCCCAGAGCCTGCACCTCAACCCTCTGCCCTAGCCCTGAGCCCCTCCCCCACCCCAAATCCCTCAGGCCCACCCAAGAGCCCTCACCCCCAGCCCTGAGCCCCCTCCCACATCCCAAACCCTTCATCCACAGTCCTCACCCCTGCACCCCAGCCCGCTGCCTGAGCCCCTCCCACACCCCAAGCCCCTCATCACCAGCCCCACCCCAGAGCCCTCACATTTTAAAAAATATATAGTAACTCCTCACTTAATGTTGTAGTTATGTTCCTGAAAAATGCTACTTTAAGTGAAATGATGTTAAGCGAATCCAATTTCCTCATAAGAATTAATGTAAATGGGGGGTTAGGTTCCAGAGAATTTTTTTTGCCAGACAAAAGACTATATAAACACACACACACACACACACACACACACACCATTTTAAACAAAATTCAATACTGTACACAGCAATGATCATTGTGAAACTTGGCTGAGGTGGTGAAGTCAGAGGGTGGGATATTTCCCAGGGAATGCCTTACTGCTAAATGATGAACTAGCACTCGACTGAGCCCTCAAGGGTTAACACAGTGATGTTAATACAGCCTCACACTCTAAGGCAGCAGGAATGGAGGGGGGCAGGAAGGAAGACAGCATGGCAGAGCGCGACAGAGACACACCCTGTGTGTGTGTGAGAGAGAGACACAGACAGAGACAGCAGCTGCTGCCAGCAAGCTCCCTCCATTCTGAGCCCTTTCATGTCCCCCCTGCTCTGTGGAGATGGGGGGCAGGAATGGGGGAGGGGGACACCCTGACAACATCACCCCTCTTCCCCATCCCCTCCTGGCTGCACAGCAAGCTGGAGGCTTCCGGAGCAGCTCCAAGGCAGAGGGCAGAACAGCACAAAGCAGTGGTAGGAGGGACACCTGAACTGCCCAGCAATTGATAGCCTGCTGGGCAGCAGCCGCACAGGGAACTTAGGGGAGCTGACAGCCCACCCTGATTCCAAGCCCCCACCAGCTAGCTCCAATGAGCTGCTCTTTCTGCAAGCAATGGACAAAGCAGGCGGCTGCCAAACAATGTTATTAGGGAGAATTGGGCAACTTTAAAAGAACATGTTCTCCAATTCAGAGGTTCTCAAACTGTGATCCATGGACCACAAGTGGTCCGCGGATAGTTCCCTCTAAGGTGCACTCCTGGGCGGCCGCACATGAGAGAATGAAGGGCCACCTACCTAATTAGTGGAGCCACGCACCTCTAATTAGGTGCCTGGACCCTGGAGAAGTTGCACATGTAAGGTGAGGTGGTGGCCTTGGGGGGGAATAGGGAGTAGGTAAGAGGGGCAGTGGTGTGAGAAGAGGGGGTGGAGGGGTATTTGGGACGTGTAGGGCTACAGCGGCAAGAGAAAGAGGCTCAGGGCTGCAGCTGCTGGGGAGAGACCCCCTTCCTTCCCAGCTTCAGCTTTGTGGCTGCTGTGGCAGGGGAGAGCCCGCCCCCCTTTCCAGCCAGAGCTCAGGGGCTGCTGCAGTGGGGGAGAGAGGAAGAGAACCCCCCTTCTTCCTGTGGCAGGGGAGAGAGGGCATATCCATCGCATTAGAAAGGTTAAGACTACTGATATTAAAATATGAGTTGTGTGCTTACGTGTAGAACAAAAAAAGTTAATTTAGGGGTTTTTTAATATACGCCTCTACCCTGATATAACGCGGTCCTCCGGAGACAAAAAAAAATCTCACCACGTTGTAGGTGAGACCGCGTTATATCGAACTTGCTTTGGCCCCCCCGTTCCTTGTTCCCTGACTGCCCCCTTCAGAGACCCCTGTCCCTAATTGCCCCCAGGATCCCACACACTACCCAACCCCCCTGTTCCTTGTCCCCTGACTGCTCCGACCCCTATCCACACCTCACACTCCTGACAGGCACTCAGCGGCAGGAAGCGGAGCAATGCGGCCCGAGCCCGCTCCGCTTTCCTTGCCCTGGCTCCAGCTGTGTCGCTGGGGGTAGGCGGGGGGGAGGGAGAGTGTTGGGGAAAGGTCCCGCACTCACCGGCGGCGGGAAGCGGAGCGCCGTGGCTGAGAGCTGGCGGACTGGAGTGGGCTGCTCCGCTTCCCACTGCCGATGAGTGCGGAGAGGTTGGGGAAAGGACGCCCTCCGCACTCACCTGCGGCGGAAAGCGGAGCACCGCAGCTGGGAGCTGGCGGAGTGGAGCAGGCTGGAGCCAGGTTGCTCCGCTTCCGCCTCTGCTGGTAAGTGCAGGGGGGGATCCCTTCCCCCAAGCCCCCTCCCCCGAGTGACATGACTGGGGCTAGGACGAGGGAAGTGGAGCGGGCTGCTCCTGGCCCCCAGCTTAATCCCCTGGGCCACTCTGGGACTGCAGGGACCCCAAAATCGCCCCCCACAACTCCTGCCTCCTAGACCCTGAGGGGGGAGTCCCTAACCACCCCCAAGACCATCTGCCCCTTATCCAACCCCTCTGCCCCGGCCCGGCACCCTTAACACGCTGCTCAGAGTGGCGTGTCAGAGCTTTACCACGCTGTATGCAAACCTGTGTTATATCGGGTTGCGTTATATGGGGGTAGAGGTGTACCACTTTTATCCAAAGCGCTTTACAATAGTTAGCCAACGGTACATACAACATTTGGAGAGATCATTAGCAAAACCCATAGCAATTTTCAAGTGGTCCGCGGAAAAAAAAGTTTGAGAGCCACTGCTGTAATTGATCAGCAATGTAACAACAAAACAAAGTTAACCGGGACGACTTTAAGTGAGGAGTTATTGTATATTGGCTTACAAGGCAGGTGTGGGGGAGGCAGGACTTGGACATGTTCTGGACACCACCAAAAATTATACAAACCTGCCGCCCCTGGTTTTGCAGTAGTAAAGCAAAATAAATAATGAAGTTTGCTACGAACCAAAGCTACAAAAGACTCAAAAGTCAAATAGCTGCTGCTAGATAAGAACCAAGTGTGCAAGATATAAAGCACAGCTGTTTAGAAATATAGTTTGAACTCCAGAAGACGAGAGGTGGTTACACAGTGCTACAGAAATATCTATAAGAAAATTGAGTAGCTTTGCCCTGATACGATGGTACAAGTTTCAGTGAAAAAAATACTCTAACAGCAATACACAATGCAGCCCAAAGTGCTGATCTGTGACAAGCAGATCCCCAATAATAAGCTGGGTGACATGCCTTCTGAGCCGGAATCGTCTGATGCTAAACAAGCTACCACCCACCCACCATCGATTCAATTAATACACCATATTGATAATTTCCAAAGGAATACTTAAGACTAGAGAAGAAGATGACAAAGCCAGTGGATGCTAAGACCCAGCCTTGCTTCATACCAGTATCAATATTAAACTCAGATGACCTTTCATTTCAATACTGGATGGCTGCCTTCATTCCCTCATAGAACTCCTTGAATAGGAGGAGCACCTTTTGTGGACAGTCAATTTTCAACAGGATCTTACAGATACCATTCCTACTAACCATGTCAAAGGCTCTGGATAACATGGATTACTTCTGCTATCTCAGCTCAATTCTTACTAGCTCATTTAATCTTGGATAGGGAACTTGATGCTAAAATCAGCAAAACTTCTGTTACCTTCATGTTCAGGGTTAGCAAATATATGAGGTAAGTTTGCGAAAGGTGTCTCTTTAATCAGGCTTGTGTCCTTAGTACCCTCCTTTACAGTTGTGAAAGCTGGGTTACATACTCCAAGCAGGAGTGGAGATTGAACAGTTTCCACCTCTGCTGTTTTAGAAA